TTCTTCTCAAAATTACAATGTTGGGCCTAATACGCTATCACCACTATCTCACACTGTGTAGAATTGTGGTCTAACCACGACAGTCTGGCTATGTTGGAAACTTGCTCTACACTTATCATTTATTAGATAAAACCTCTGCGTGACCATTTTTAGATACAGTCTACAAAAACTGACAAAAAGACAACATAACAATAATGAACAAGAATGAGTTCTGGAATGGAAAAATTAAAATTCATATTTTTTTTATACATCTGAACATTACACTATAGAACTGCATACATACTGCATATACAATACAGCTTATGTGGTCATGTGACAGATCTCTACACTTTTTAAAAATACTTGTTCATGTAGAGTGTTTATTCTTATTTATTACTGTATATATATATATACTCCTCAGTCAGCCATGATTGCTGGTCATAAATATTCGGCATGGCTTTTTAAATAAACAGTTAAGTTTAAGTCACATCTGAGATTTTTCTCAGATCTCTAGTAACATGATGAAGAACAGGTAATACACACCTCTGACCACACGGGGTCAGCAGAGGATTTCCTGCACTGGACTTCTTTAAAGTTTTCTATCTGCAGTCCTCTGCAAACGCCATCAACTCATAAAAATGTATCCAGTCAAAATGTTTCAAATAAAAGTAAAATTAGGATTTTCAGTCTATCAAAGCAGATCTGGGAGGACTGATCCATGACTTCTGACTATGATGCTAACTGACTGAACAGGATGGGTAACTTCCTGCTGTTTTTTTTAAAGACGTTCTTTGTTTTGTTTTTTGTTTTTTTACTAAATTTTGGGTTTTTGTGTTGATTACAAAACCACATTCAAATGGACATTTTCAGGTGAGTCACAGTTTTTATCATATTTGTCTTTCTTTGCCTTATATGTGAAAATGTTCACTGTTTCTATTTATTGCAGTTTTTAAAATTTCTATCTCTTTTTTATTTTCAGTTGCTGCCAATGTAACGTGAGTATTTTAACAATGTCTGCATCCAGTACTTCATACCACAGCAGCGGATACTGTGGATCACGGAAGTTCTGATTGTATTTTAAAGCATGTTTCTGCACAAATCTATGAATAATTAAGGTTAATAACAAAGGGTGTATGTGCAGTTTAAGTCACAGCTGGTTTTGCTGATTTTTGAATGCCCTAAACTAGAAATTATCCCAAACTTTAAGTCATATTAAGTATGACTTAAGTCTCATCATTTCCTTATCTCCCTGTGCATAGTGCCTCATGTCCAGCTGTCAGCCTGACCTGTCCCAAAGAGGACTGCTGACCGCCTTGGATTGACTATTTATGAGGTGACTGGTCAAAGGATGAAGGCATTTCAGGAGCTGATTGGCCTGGTCGCTCTCAGGGTTTCTCATGGCCATAAAAGTTGAACAGCCAAACCCCCGTCCAAGCCCATATATACCCCACAGAGTTAGCTTTTTAATCAGTGACTCCCTCACTGCGTCCCAGCCCTTCAGCCAGTCTCTGCCGGCCTCCTCATCATCACTTTGTAGGTGAGAAACTCTTTTACTTAATGCTTAAAGTGAAGCTGATCCTCACAGGAAATAGAATTTAGTGATTCTGGTGCAGATTAATCTTTTAACAGGTGAAAAAACCTTCAATATATAAATCTTGAATGAATGTATTCAATAAGAAAATTATTATGTACAGAATTACTGAATTTTTCAATCATAACTGAGGTAGTGAGTAACGTTTTTGGAGGTTTCCTGTTTATATATTATGGTTTTACCATCTTTCACCCTTACATTATGTGCATAAAACTATAAAATCTACATAAAACTACTGTAAGATTAAAAAACTAGATTTCCTTATTTATAAATAAACAAGAAACTGATTTATTGTTTCAAAAACGAGTTTTCCAAACTGGTTAAAAGACATTTCTATCTCGTTTTCAGCCTGAACATCACAAT